CAAGTGACAAGCGGGGTCCCCCAGGGCTCTGTCCTGGGGCCGATCCTGTTTAATATTTTCATTAACGACATGGAAGAAGGGGTGAACAGTCTGCTGATCAAATTCGCAGACGACATTAAAACTGGGGCAGTGGCCACAACTGAGGAGCAGGTACTCCAGATCCAAAAGGATCTGGACAGACTATGGAAGTGGGCAGGAGACAACAGGATGGCGTTCAATGTGGATAAGTGCAAGGTCTTGCACTTCGGGCATAGGAATAGCTGTCATAGGTACAGGTTAGGTGACAAGTGGCTGGAGAGCAGCACTTGTGAAAGAGACCTCGGGGTACTGGTTGACTGCAGGCTAAACATGAGTCAGCCGTGTGACATGGTGGTCAAGAGGGCCAACGCCACTCTTGGTTGCATAGCCAGAAGTGTGGCTTCTATATCGAGAGGGGCATTACTACCACTCTACACGACTCTGGTGCGCCGGCAACTGGAGTATTGTGTTCAGTTTTGGGCCCCTCATTACAGGAAGAATATAGCCAGGTTGGAGTCAGTGCAGCGTAGGGCCACAAGGTTGGTGGTCGGTTTGCAGGGGATGGGGTATGAGGCGAGACTGAGGGAACTGGGTATCTTCAGCCTGGAAAAGAGGAGACTCAGAGGGGATATGTTGGTGACGTACAGGTATGTGAGGGGATGTCACATGGAGATGGGTAGAGACCTCTTCTCCCCTGCGGAGGAAGGCAGGACGTGCTGCAATGGAGCAAAGCTCAGGGAACCCAGGTTCCATTTAGATGCCAGGAAGCACTTCCTGACAGTCAGGACCCCGAGGGTGTGGAATGGGCTTCCCCGGGAGGTGGTTGAGGCCCCATCGGTGTGGGTGTTCAAGGATAGGCTGGATGTCCACATGTTGGGCATGTCGTGAGCGGAGCCGGCTGGTGCCGGAGGTCAGACTAGATGGCCCGGGAGACCCCTTCTGACTCGCTCTGTTTTCTATGTTTCTATGTTTTACCGAGTTGTGAAGGCTTTGGATATGCTGCAGTACTTACTGTTATGCTTATTGATCAATTGCATTTATTCCTCCAAGGAGTGGGAGGCAACCTCCATTTCATCCTTAAACAATCCTGTGGCATCGGTTATGCCGGGAGGGGGTTCTGAGGGGAACTGAGTCTCGGTCCAAAACACTAACACAGCACTGTTGAATCTTTAGCAGCCCAAGAATTTCTGAGAAGCATTGGAAAAATGCTCACAAAATGATGTTATGTTTGCTTGTTTGTTTGTTTTATATTTATTGATTATACCACCCAATAGCCAAGACTGTCTGTGTGGTTAACAAAAGTTAAAAACACACAGATGTGAAAAGCAGAGAAGTGTTCTGCAGAAATGTTTGCCAAACAACAAAAGATTTGCAAAAGTGTGCACAATGATGTTTTATCCAGTGGGGGGAACATGTGTCCATCTGCAGAACTGCTGACCAAAATGTGCATATTTAGGGAAAAAAATCATTAGGATGCAAAATTTTCACATGGGCTTCATTTGCAGTCTGATGCGGAATTGGAGCAGATCAAAGTTAGTACTGGAAAAATGAGAAACTGAGCAAAATTGAGCTTATATATATATATATATAAATAATATATTTTTCAATTTCGATTTATATTTTTTATATATTTTTCGATTTATATCCTGCCTTTTTCCTACAAAGGGCTCAAGGCAGCTTACATCATTCTCCTCCTCCATCTTATCCCCACAACAACAACCCTGTGAGGTAGGTTGGGCTGAGAGTCTGTGACTGGCCCAGAGTCACCCAGTTGGCTCCATGGCTGAGTGGGGACTCGAACCCAGATCCTATGAGTCCCAGTCCCATGCTCTTGACCGCTTTGACCACCCTGATGGAAGCTCAGAACCAAGGATGTTGCGGGATGCCCTTGTTACTAAGAGACAGAAGTGTTTGGCTGCCCTGTTCTAGTGGGCACTCGGTGGTGGGGACCATCTAGCATGTTGACCAAGTTTCTCAAGAGGGAATTCAGCTGCTCTTTGCAGCATGCAGTCTGGGGTTTGGAGGCCTAAAAGTAAAGTCTAGGAAACAGACGGGAAAGAGAATAATCATTGAAAGTCCCTGTTAATGGCTGGTGCGTGCATTAACTTTTTTCAAAATTCTGTGAAGATTTCACTTGTGACCTGGCTGAAGCAAACCAGAAAATGCAAGGAGATGAGGAAGATGGTGGGCAAAGCCATAAACCGAAGGTCTAGTTCCAACGGATGCAGTAGACATGCACCAGGCCCACTCAGCTTTATAGGAGTTCTCCTACATTTGGATGTTCTTGCATTATAAATAAAGATAATAATAAAAAATAACTTGCAATAATATAATACATTCGTATTAGTGTATTGATACAGTGTGGAAGCTAATAACAGGGCCATGAACATGCATTTGCAGAAAAGTAGCACAGGCAGAATAAAAGCTAGGCTGGAAGTTATGACCTTGGCAAGTAACTTTTCTAAAAGGACACCTTTTTGAAGTCACCTTTAATGTCAGGGAAACCTTCAGTCGTATGAATGCTCCTCTTGCCACCGCCTGCTAGAGCTTGGACAGAAAAGGACCTCCGTGCTGGAGTCCGGAGGTGTTTCTGGTTATAAACCCAGGTTGAGGAGAGCTTTTCCATGGAATCTTTTCTGGATGAGACATATTCTTCATTCACGTCTTCTGTCTCTGTTTTTGTTTTCCCCACCTCCAGCATTACGTGGAGATGACATGCAATTGACAGCCAAAGAGTTGGAGAAGTCGTCCCAGGACTCGGCTTTGGCGAAGGATGAATTGTGGGCCAGCGAGCCGTTTTCCTCAGACACTGACCTTGGGCTTGGCGGAGGTTTGCCCATGACTCCTCCTGCACCGGGGACGGACCTGTCTGCAGAGCGGCCTGCCGCTGTTGCGGAAGGAAGCGCTTCCCCGGGGAGGGCAGGCCCAGACCAGGCTCCATCAAGTGTTGTGAGCTCGGTGGTTCCAGAAGGGCCTCAGGGGACGGTCCCGGAAGGCAGGGGGGCCCCTGCTGAAGGGTCTCCCGGAGCCCAGCCAAATGGCGAGACGCCTGTGACCAGCAAAAGCAAGCTCCCAAGAGCAAAGCCGGCGGCTCTGCAGAAGAAAATGGGGCGAGAGACCCCGGAGACGGAGTCAGGCAGGGAAGGCACCCCTGTCCCCAAAGCCACTTACCGCTTCGACCCAGAGGACTACAGTGAAAACCTGAACCCGTTTATGACGGGGGGCTCCAAACTCCAAAACTCTCCCCCTGCATCTCAGCAAGGTTTTGCTCCCTCGAGCAGCGACATAGGGGAGGAAGGAGCCGGCGAGGCCAAGGGCCGGGCCGTGAAGCTCGAATTTGATTTCACAGAAGGGGGGGAAGGCCCTGAGACCAAGAAAGCCCCGCCAAGGAAAACCGGAAGGAAGGTGGCTAGTAAACTGTCCCCCAAGAGGCAAAGGAGTGCTGCCGGCCGGCCTGCTGCAGGTGCAGAGGACGGGGAGAAGACGAGTGCTGCGCCCCCCCCAGAGGTGCCCGCCCCCAAAGCCTCCTCCCAGGAGAACGCTGACCAGTGGGAGGACCCCAACCTCGACCCCTTTGCCGCGGGCTCGAAGTTGCAGAGCTCCCCGGCTCTTCCGGCGGGTTCCTACAACCTGGATGTGGCTGACCCGTTCAAGCCCACCAAGACGTTGGACTCCTGCCCCTCTGCTGAGAACAGTCTCAAGGAGATCCTGGATTTGCAGGCGCTGGAGGCGGTGGGAGATGACCTGAGGAAAGGCGCCGCCTCTCCCAAGAAGGCCAAGTCGCGGTTGATAACGTGAGTGATGACGGGCCCGGGGCATCTGATTGGGTCAGAGCGTGGTAGGGCAGTCCTTGAGGTCTTGGGCCATGCGTAGCCCATGCCCTGCAAACTGTCACTTGTGTAAGCCTTATCCCAGCTTTGTAAGCGCTTGAGCATCTTGAACTTGTAGGCTGCTGCTGCTGCTGTTTTTTTTTTAATGAGGCATAGGATTGTCGGAAGTCTTGAACCCCTGGCCAGCTAAAACCAATTCTGGAGTGATGTGCTGGGGAATTTCCGTCTGTCTGTCTGTCTGTCTGTCTGTCTGTCTAAAGCTTTTATAAACCATCCCTATACTACTGTCTTGGGACAGTTTACAAGAAACAAACAACAAGTAAAATAGAAATCAGAATAGCACAGCATGCCGTATAAAACACATTGAAACCAATTAGACATTAAAATAACAGGAGACTAAAAAGGCTTTCGCCTGGTGTGAAAACACTCATTGGTGCCAGGCGAGTCTTTCTGGGGAGCATGTTCCATAATCAGGGTGCTGATACATTATTGTAGGAATGTTAAACCTCACACAGCCCAGATTCTTTAGGCTGTTTTAGAGAGGAGCTTGGGCCAAATTCCCGTGATGGCAAGCCTGCACAGCAGCACATTAATGCTTAATGCTTGCACTCCTGCAGCTCAGCCTTGTATAACGGAGGTAAGGAGCAGGATGCAAAAACATGCTCTCTGTGGGGCTGCCCTTGAAGACAGTCCAGATACTTCAGCTGGTCCAGAATAGAGTCGCCAGGTTGTTAACAGGGACCGGCAGGCATGAACACATAACGCCGGCCCTTTTCCACCTACACTGGCTACCAGTCGAAGCCTGGGCCCAATTTAAGGTGCTGGTGGTGACCTGTAAAGCCCTAAATGGCTGAGGCTCTGGTTACCTGAAGGAGCGTCTCCTTCCATATGTGCCCGCGTGCCCCTTAAGGTCTGGGCTAAACGCCCTTCTCTGGGAGCCCTCCCTGAAGGAGAGCAGGAGGGTGGCTACCCGGAGAAGGGCCTTCTCTGCGGTGGCACCCAGATTGTGGAATGTGCTCCCCAGGGAGGTTTGCCTGGTGCCAACACTTTATTCTTTTTGGTGCCAGGCTAAAACCTTTTTATTTTCCCAATGTTTTAAGATTTGATTGTTTTAATAGGGGTTTTACAGTTGATTGGAAATTTTTTATTAGGATGCTGTGTTTTATTTTATTTTGTCTTATTAAACTGTCCTGAGACCATGGTAAGGGTCTAGGCAAGTTTTAAATAAATAAATAAACAAACAAACAAGCTGGGAAATTCAAAAGGCCACCAGTTGGGGGAAAGGGACAGGCCCTTTTGGCTATCAGGCCGTGTGGAAATGGGAGAAATAAAATATTACAGATATTAAAGAGTCAGAAGTAAAGTGGAATAATCCTGTCAGCAGGTTAAAGTTTAAATACTGGCAGGGAAAGGCCTTAACCTGGCATCTCAATACGTGCAGTGAAGAAGCCAGGCAGTTCTTCCTTGGGAAGAGCATGCCATAGACGGGGCCACTGCGAAGGAGGCCCCTTGCCTGGTGGCAGCCATTGCGCCATCGCCGAAGAAAACCCTCAGCTGACCACATCGTGATCTAGGCTTGGGAGGTGGGACCTGGCGGGCTGTGTCTCCCCCCTCCTCCACTTTCGAGCACACTTTTTCGGCTGACTTTTAACTGACAGGATTGGAGGTGGTGGAGAAAGGCATGTGGCTTCATGCTCAGGCATCTGGGAAACATTGCCTTATGTTGGGAAAATATTTTTATCGATACCCCAGTTTTTCCTGCAAGGAACCTTACGTACATAATCCTCCTCTCCATTTTAACTTCACAACAACCTGGCAAGGTAGGTTAGGCTAAGAATCAGCGGCCGGCCCCACATCTCCCAGTCCGCTTCATGGCCAATAGGAACAAGAGCCGGGACCTCCCAGTCCAACACCAGCCACTGCAGCTCCCTGGCTGTAGGATTTAAGATCCCTGCTGTCTTTGCAGTCCTACTGGGACGAAGGTTGCATTTGTCAAACGGAAGTCCAGTCTCAGGTTGTTCCTTTCCTAACCAAGATACTTGAAATTGCAGGCATGCCGAGAATCTAATATAGTATTTATTTTTAAATATATAAAATATTTTTAACTATATAAAAGTAATAAGTTTTAAACATTCATCTGGTTCCGTATAGCCTCCTCTGCAGTGCTCCATGGTCTTGATTCTCCATAACCACACTGAGCTCAGCTGCCTGGGTTCGGATGGCTGAGCAACCCACTGTAGGAAAAACAGTCTCCAAAATTGCCCACAGGTTGTTGGGGCGGCTTCTTACGGACAGAGAAGCCACTCTTGGGAAATTGGTCTAGGTTCACACGAGATGATACCCCACCGTGTGCAGTAACTCTTAATGGGTTGTTTGTGCCAAACAAACACAGTCAATGTGTGGTATAAAACCTCCCAGACTCTACCACTTCCAGCTGCAGGCAGGGGGGGTTGCTGTTTGTATGCATGAAAGAGAGAGACAGAGATAAGTAAATGTTAAAATTTCCCTGCCTATCAAAGACTAGTACACCTTCCATTCTGGCATCCTAGCTTTCTTTATATAAGATGCTGTGCCATACGAACCATAGAGGAATGTGCCACTCCCCAGCTGCTCTCTGAAGTGGTACATTCCAGGAAGAGCTTTGCCACATTTCCCTGCAGAGATTCACAGCCTTCGGGAATCCAGCATTTAGGAATTATAATACTTTGCTTTTGGGCTCCAGGGAAGATTCAAGGATGAGACACTTATTTTACTGAAATACTGGTATGCTCACTTTGAGTTAAATCCTTTCAGCCTGCATTTTTCCAAAACAGAGGCCCTGTTTGCACATGACAGTGGGCAGAATGTTTCTGGATTTGGTCCTACTGCGAAGGAGCAGGTGTGCTAGCCTGCACTGCTAGAATATTTCCAGCAGGAGCAGCCGGACAGGTGTGGGACCTGCCTTCCACGGTTTACTTAGCATGGCCTTTCACAGCTTCCCCAGCAAGCCAGAAGTGCAGGCTAAACACCAGGGATGTGGCTGGATGGAACCATGGTTGGGTTGTGAGGTCAGTTCTGGGTGTCGGGCCGACCATGTGCCGAAAGACCCCTGGCCCTTCGTGGCAAACGTGAGGGTGTCCCTGCCCCACCACTCTGCATGTGGCTCCGCTCGGCGCATCTCGGGGCTCTCGCGAAAAGAAAACACGGCCTCCTGCAAAACGCCAGAAATTCCCTCTGAAGGCTGCGCATCCTGGGCTACGCGTTCCCATGATCTGCTAGATCTGTGGCCACCTGTCATGGGCCGGGGGGTGGAAGGGTGGGGAAGGAGGGAAGGGGCCCTCCGCTCTTTCCCCAACTCAATAGCAAGGTGTGAGCTTCATTGCTGGGGGCAGTTCAGGGATTAACTGCGAGGGGACGTGTTAGGAGTGTTCGGCAGCTGCAACGCACTGGCGCATTGGGCTGTGCAGGACCCTGCCAGGGGTGGGAGCCCAGTGGGCTCCCTGGCTCAGCTGCCCAGGCTCGGGTCCACGTTGCGGAGGCCCAGGGCCCAGGTTCCTGGCCAGCGTGCCGGGAGTCGAGGCACGTCCTGCACTAGCAGTGCCTGCCAGCACACCAGGACCAGCCCTCCTTGTGCAGATGCGGCCGGACGCAGCACGCCTGCCTGCCTGCCTGCCTGCCTGCCTGCCTGCTTGCATGGGGCCACCAGGGAAGCTGCCCCCCGACTGCTGCCACCACCCGCTGTGTGCCAGGAGCAGCTGCAGTTGCCTCCTTTGCAGGGGGCAAAGCAGCCCAGCTGCTGCAACCGGCACCAAAATGCTTCGCTGGTTGCGTGGCCTGCTCTGCTGAAGCGCCACGAGCGTTCACAGGCTTCCTCTCGGTCGCGCCAGAGCACTGGGCCGAGCACAAGAGCAAGCCTGCGGATGCTCGGAGGGACTGGTCCCAGCAGGGTTGTCCCAGGCCCATCGGCTTCGCGGTAGCCACAGCAACCGTATCTTGCCTTTACCTTGGGATGGCCAAGCCCCTGGGAGCTGGTTGCCCCTGGGAGACATGAGCAGGATTATGCTGTTGTCTCCGACCTGTGGGCTGCCCGGAGGCCATTGGATGTCCGCAGGATTAACGGGATTTTGGACCAGGTGGGCTTTGGTCTGTTCAGCAGAGCTCTTCTGTTCTGGTCTTAGGAGAAGAATCCTAGAAGAGCAGAGCTGGGAGGGGCCATGAAGGCCCTCAGGTCCAGCGCCCGCTGTTGCAGGACACCAAGTCGCACCATCCTGCTCGGAGAGCTCAATGCCCAGGACAGCAGGGCGAGATTATGGGCCTTTCAAAAGAAAACAGATCCAAGCTGTGCTCCAAATGCTCTCTCCTCCCAGCCACCCCGTAGCTTGTAGGAGCCGTGTGCATTGCACCGTCTCTCGTCTCCTGTGCAAGTCTGAACTTTGGTGCCCGTGCGAATTGTGGTGCGTGTGCTGCTTTGCGGCGCTCCCAGGCCCTGTTGCCAGCCCCCGCCAGCCTGTTCAGCCGCTTCCCTGGATTCTGGCTCTCATCAGGATCTGCTGACCTGTGCCGAGACGTACCTTTGCAGCCATACAAGCTAGAGCGGGGATGCTGCCTGTTTTGGGTGGGGGGCCTGCTGCAGAGCCTGCAGAGACCAGATGGCCTCAACCTCCGGGTGGGGAGGGGGGCCCTCCCCCAAATGCCCATCTGCTCAGATGGAGGTGCCCGATCCCGGGGAGCGGCGGGAGTGCAAGGGGGTGCTGTGGGTGGAGCCAGAAGCATTGCTGAATGGGAGCGAAGGGGGAAAGCCTCCATTTGGATTCAGCTCTTCACATGGGCAGACGCTTCTCCCACCACGCTGGCGGGAGGCTGATTTGACTCGTACTGCTCCGCATCCAGTCGAGTTTCAGATCAAGGTTTTGTTCTGCATTTCCTGAAAGGGGGGGAAGAGAGAAGCGGCCAGTGCACGGCCGTGGCCAGGGCGGTCATTGAACGGCCCTCCGTGCTCGGTGCAGAAAGGCACCTGGAAGGCTTGGGAGCCGCAGCGTCGCCTGCCTCTGGTGGGAAACGGCGCGGGTTCTGCTGGGGGAGCCTCCGAGGCCAGGCACCACCTTGGGGGGCCCAGAGAAGCTCCACGGGGCAGTGCAGGGCTCCGAGGGCTGGGCGCTGCGCCCCTCCTGGCGTGGAGCCTGGGCTTGGGGCTGTGCTTCCCGCGTGGACACAGACTTTCTTGGGAATCCGAGTTCCATCCACAAGGTAGCATCCCGTGCTCTGATATAATCTGGGTGTTTGGACATCGTTTGCTCCTACCTCAGTCATTCATTTGGGAGTTCCTTTCTCTCCGACAGCAGTAATAAATACTTGCAGTTTCGCATCTCTTCTTTGCATGTTTCGTCCCACTCATGCAATAACTTACATTTATCCAGGGAGGAAATATATCCAGGTCTTTCACAGATATTTTTTTCCTCCCCTCCATCTTTCTCTCCCCTTTTCTTGTCTGTCCATTGTGATGCACCAGGACTACTGAACAAGTGAAATTTCTCTGTTTTCTGTTGTAAGTACTCACTTCCCTTTCCTGCCTTGTTCCTCTTCTGGCTTGGCTTTGTTTGAAAAAAAGGGGTTTGCTGGCTCTCTCGCTTTCTCTCTCTGTCTCTCTCTCTCCCCCCCCCCCCCCCCCCCCCCCCCCCCCCCCGCTGCATGCAGCTTCCCCTTCTTCCCCACTGGTCCATATTTTGCTGCGCTTCACTTTTTGCGCTCCTCGGTTGACTGGCTCTTGTCCCCCGCCTCCCCTTAAGAGAGATGGTTTTATCCGACAGCCTGGCTTTGCAAGGAATGAGGAGTGGGAGGCAGTTGTGCCTGATCCCATGGCATTCTAGTTTGCATCCGCTTTTCATGGCATACAAAACATCAATGCAATCCATGTGCTCCCCCCCCCACCATATTAGAGCTTCTCTCTCATTCCGAAATCAAACATTCCCAGACTGTCCTTGGGCCACTCCTTTGTGTAGAAACAAAGGGCTGGATCTTCTCCAAGTGTAAATGAGCTCTCCTTTCCGGGATCATGGCCTTTCGCTGACTGCATTCAGGCGGAGTGCAGAAATAGCCGCTCGAACGGTTTGACATTGGTGGCCACACAGCCGTGAGGGCAGACGCATCCGTGTGAAAGAAGAGCGAACCAGATGCGTCGCCGGCCCGCGTATAAGTAGTCACTGTATACTTTATCTTCGCCAAATGAATTAATCTTCTGCCTGTACCAACTTCCCCAAATTCTTCGTTTAGGAAGAGCTAGCGAGGCATGGATCTGCTGGTGCTTTATGCTAAAGGTGGACAGAAGCCGAATCGGAAGGCTTTGGAAAGCAGGAACTGCTTTTCCACCGAGTCTAGATCAGGCTGCTTGACTTTGCCCCACCTCAGCTTAGGGGCCCGTCCTTGAATGCGTCTTCTGGATTCATGAGTGGCTGCTTGGAAGATCTTGCTGGCCACCCCTGTCGATAAGTCGGTGGCACACGCGAGCCTTTCCGCCCACGTGGGCCTGCATGAGCGAGGGGTTGGCTAGCAGAGGGAAGGAGCGGCGCTGCTCAATCTTCACTGCTGGGCTGCCTGGAGGAGATTCTTACTCACCCTAAACCACTAGTCACGTGGCCACCTTTGTGTCGGTGGCGTCGTTCTGGGGCCCTCTTGCCTCCAGACTTTGAAGCAAGGCTGCTGCTGGAAAAGTTTTACCAGGGGTAGTTAGGGATGCAGGGGGTTGCCTTCGACTGAGCTGGGCCATGGACCTCCCACCTTAGATAGTTGACATCTTCTAGGTTCCAGACAGAGATCTTGCCCAACCGTACCTGGAGAGGCCTGAGACCCCTAGGCGGGGTCTTGCCCAACTTGGAGGTGCCGGGAATCGAACCCAGAGCCTTCCGCATGGAGGGTATGTATTCGACAGTGGGGCACCCGACATGATTTGGGTGTATTTCTTAATGCTCCAGAGTGGCCGCAGGTTTGTAAGACCGTAACTGCTCTCCAGCCAGCATGGCCGCTGGTCGGGCTCTTCCTTCCCAACGCTTCCCACTGGCCTAAAGGAGCAAGGCAGGAAGTCGGTGGCCCCTTACCATTTTTTCTTCCCCTTAACGCCTTAAGCAGGCCAGGAGGGTGCGGGTGGGAAGGTGCTTTTCCCACGTGCTCTTGCCCAGCTGCTAAAATCCTTGGAGGGCCTTCTCTGCGTGCTGCCTCCCACAGTGGTGCTGTGGGGCAGCTGCCAGAGGGGGCCTTGTCTGTGTTAGCCCCCTGCCCTGGAAGACCTTCCCAGGAAGCTCCACCTGTCCTGTTCACTGTATAGGCCAGAATGCCAGATTTTCTGGCATCCTCTCTCCTCTTCCAGCATCTTTCCAGAGCGTCCTCTCCGATCTGTTCCCCTAATTATCAAGCTGGCTCTTTCGTGGTGTGAGACATCGGCTGTTGTGTTTTGGGGAGGCCCTGATGGCATTTGAGTCAGGACATTGGCCATCTGTGCTGTCGATAAACCGAGTGCACGTGGGACGGAACGAAGGGGCGACGTGCGCTCTTGCCAGCCCGCTTTGTGTGTCTGCGACGGCCTGAGTGCCTCTTCAAGGAGTTCCTGCCTCAAGGAATCGGAGATGCTGTACTTGCTTGAAGCATGCTTTGTAAAGCAGGAAATGGAGGAGGTGAGGGACGAGCACTGCGCCTGCTATATTTAGACAAGCCGGGCCAGCTGAAGGGCGCAGCGCGTCAGCGAAAAGGAGCGAGGAGGGAGTAGAAGCCAGGCTTGCCGTCCCCGCTCAGCTGCGGATGACTCACCCCAGCAGGCTGCCGGGAGGAGGAGGCAAGGGCTGGGGGTGTGAGGGGCAAGCGGTGGGGGGCTGCAGCTGTGCAGCCCCTCGGCCGCCAGGGTCTCTGCCCTCCAGCCAGAGGACAGAAAAGAGCTCGGTCCCAAAACTGATGGGGCCACAGACAGACCCGTTTCCAGCATCTTCCGAAATGTGGCTTTTGTTCCTTGGAAGGAGAGAAGTGGGGAAGAGGGGAGGGGATGCCTCCTCATGTCTCCTGGCCACCTGGACACCTTTCTGTGCTTCAGAGCCAGAAATGGCGTCGCCAACTGGCTCTGGGTTCAGATGTTCTGGCCATGCTCTCTCAATTGTATTTGGACTGCCATCTTATGTGAACGTATTAACTCAGCGGGGAATTCGATGCTGGAGATGGGAATTCGATGCATCTTCAGGGTGTCAGGTTTGGCAACTCTGCCTTGATTGTTTGTGGTTTAACCATGGTTAAGGGCCAGGAGACATTCTCCTGGTTCGGACAACCCAACAGCCCAAGGGCTAAATAGGGCTGCAGCCAGCAGGGGAGAGCTGGTGCGCCACCTGCGCTTTCCCTAGCAAAGCGTGATTGGATCTGTTTTATATTGCTGGATCTGTTGTCTGCACCTGGATGGCAGGGCTGGTTGGAGGCCAAACCTGGTGATTAATGCAGCACCAAAACGTGAGGCAGCACAGGGGCTCCACCACAGAATGACTCAAGAGTGTGACTCGGAGTGGGAAGGAAGTAGAAGGCAAGGGGTAGAAAGGAGAGAAGAAGCAAGGGAGAAACAGTGAGGTTAGGAGTTGAGGGGGAGAGAGGAGAGGCCACGAAATATAGTGATGGGTGAGTGGGAGAGAAAGAATGAGGCTTGGGCTGGGAACGAGGAGGAGGCGGTTTGGTGTGGGAAAGGGAGAGAGACTGAGGAAAGAATCGGTTGCTAACCAGGCAGGGGATGCAGAGAGCTCTGTCGGAACATCAAGTTCCTGGTTAAGACCAGGCTTGCTATTTGAAATGAAAACAGCCTGAAATCAGGGGGACGTCCTTCCGAGAAAGCACGTGCACGGGCAAGGCTGTGTGGCAGTGAGCGATGGGACTTACTCCAGTGCCAGTGTTTTATAAGCGCTTCCTTGTACGGCTTCTAGATTTCCAAGATAAGCCCGCTCGGTTCTTTGCTGTGTGTTTGTGCTCCAAGCACAGCTTAGGTTAGGCAGATAACGACAAAATTAGCCTGCAAAACGAGTGCAGGGAGGTGTATATGGATAAAAGCGATCCATGGCTACGCATCTGCCTGCTGTGGGCTTCCTGCACCCTGCTGGCTTGTTTGATGGGAATGAATGAATAAAAGCGCCTTTCCTCAGGGGGGCTCGTTGATTTTTGACCGCAGCAGCAGCGGGGAGAAACCTGTGTGTGCTGCAAGTAGAATTCTGCATGTGTTTATTCGAGTCGTATCCTGCCTTTCCTTGCAAGGATCTTAGGGTAGGTTATCAGCCTGTGTGAAATAGTACGGCCCCAAAATATCATTAAGATCATTCAAGCAGAATGAAACCTTCCCTGAAGTCAGATAAAACACTTGCTCATACTCGAAGGCCTGTACAAATAATCTTTAGGAGGCGCTTGAATGACAGTAGTGTTGGAGAGAGCTGCGCTTCTGCTGGGAGGGGAAGGAGGGCCACAGCCTGGGAGCCACCACGGAAAAGGCCCTGCTGTGTGTGGCAGCCCCGCATGCCACATTTCTCTCTGGTACCCCTCACAGAGCCTTCCTGATTGATGGTACGTCCAGGACTGGCCGGCCCTTCAAACAGAAGTGAAACTGGATGAATGGTTAGAGTCTGATGGATGAGAACCAGAAAAGCAGCTTACAGGGCACAGTTGTGAGATGCCTCCTTGCAAACTGGAGCAATTCTCAGACCAGTAAGGGAATTGCAGCCAGCCGGCTCTTCCCACCAACTCCAACCCGTAACAGGATGCAGCGCCAGGCACTGTGTTCCATGCTCACCGGTTTCCCGCGGGTCCAAACGGACCGAGCTCTCCTCACCTTGAATGACGGTGTGTTAACAGGGCAGGATCGCAAACTGGGTTCATTCTAGGCCTGCCTAAACCATAGTTTTATTCAACCACATTTTGAGCTCATTTCAGGGTAACAGCAAACTGGTTAGTTTAAGCGCAGGAGCAGGTGCTCTGATCTCCCTCACACCCACGCAGGAGGGGATTGCGGAAGGTGGAGATGCACATTTCCCAGGCTCAAGCAGAAGTGTTTCCGTTCTGCTAAACTGTGGCTTAGTACTGTGCCCTAAGCGGGCACCTGTTGGGTTGGGCAAGCTTTCAAGGGCCTCATCACATATTTGGGCTTTCTTAGGTTTATCTGGATGATCTGTTTTAAGCCTACATTTGAAAGCACGAGTCTGACAAATCCGTTTTTGCTTGGCTGTTCGTCATACAGGCACAGTGGCACAGATCACCAGGACTGGCAAAATCATCAACAGTTCTGCCTTCGCCTACATAACCCATAAACACCTCCCTTAGCTTTGCTTGGGCCACGGGAATAAAAGCTCTTGAATGCAACCATTGGGGTGCTGCCTCCCATATGCCGGCCACGCGGGGAAGTGCCGCCCGAGGCTTCCTTTCCGGCAAAGTGCTCCAAAAGAGGGTGCAGATTCTGCCCCTGCCCTTGCTTCCCGTCCATCCTCCCTCCGAACGTCCCTCCTCACCTGCCTTCCTTTTCTGCTGAGATTGGGGAAGTCCAGCATTAACCCCTCTCCCCTTTCTGTCTGTAGGAGCGGCTGCAAAGTAAAGAAATACGAAACCCAGTCTCTCGTCCTGGATGTTTGCTCTCAGGTAAGGGTCGCCCGTAACCCATGGCCACGGTTCTCCCCCAGGGAAGCCGTAACCCCCTAGATCCTAGCTTTCTTTTTTTTTTTTTAAGCGGGTCTCTTTTAGCTCTCCAGGAGTTAAAAAGTACAGGCATGTTTTTGCCCTTTCTCTTTGGGAGAAACTGCTCTGTGTCTGGCTTTTAGTGCCATTAGGCAAGGAGTAACACAGCAACTTTGTGGTTCGTTTTTAAGCTTTGGGGTGGGGCGGGAACCTTTCTTGGAGAAATGTGATTTCTGCCCCCTCGACAGTAAGGATCAGCCAGCCAAACTTGTAGCGTTGCTGACGGGGCCTTGCCACTCCCGTGCAAGCCATTGCCGTGTTCTCTCGCCACAGAGAGTTTGCCAGTGTTCTGAGATTGACAGAAACCACTCCAGAACGTGGAAATTTGTTTCCTGACAAATCCTGTAAGTCTGTCAGTTTTATAAGGATGCCAAGGACAGAAAATATCCAACATGGCATCTTTAACGGGGACTGTTATACTGTATTTGTGCAGCTGCCTCTCCAAATTCTTTGGTCCCGTCCTATGCATCCCTAGACAGTAAAATGACTCACGACTTGTAGACTGGCCGTTGTACGTAGGCCTTTTTCTGTCCAAACGTGGCTGGGTCAACACCTTTCATCTTTCACTTCCCTCGCTCCATATGCGTTTTTCTTGGAGTCCCCGGTGGCTCGTGCGTGAAGTCAAACACGGTCTTCTGTGTTGGTGCTATTACGTTCCTTTGATTTTCTGCCACGCGGCGCAGGGCTCTAAACTCACGGCAGCAAAGCAAGCAAGCGCGCATGCAGCCGAGATCCGGCACCACGGCGTTGCAGTGGCACGGGCTGCGCATGCAATTTGCATGCCCCGGCACGCGTCTTATTAAACCAGGAGTCTTTCTGGGTACGAGTTCTTTGCTTGCCGCTGCCCCCCAGGGAGAAGTCCTGTGGTCAGCCCTGGAAAGCTCCACTGCTCCGTCCGGGGAGCGCTGGCCCTGGGCCACCTCTGCCTCGCGGTTTCTGCCTGCTCGCCTGCCCTCTCCGAGTGGCCGAGTGGCCGCTGTTCCCCTTGCCTTGCCCTCCCCTGGGCAGTGGCGCAGATGAAGCCCACCAGGAGAGGGAAAGCGGCAAGGAGGTAGATAGACCCAATCAGAAGAGCACCTTCCACTTTCCGTACGGCATATTTATTGCATATGCATTGATGTATTTGTAAACTGCCCCGAGAGCCTTTGCTGGCTAAAAGGCAGTATAGAAATTTAATAGGAATGCTGAGGGCAGCTTGCCCCCCCGCTGCATCCGGGTCCAGCCCTGGCATGTAGGAAGCTGAGTTGCAGCTCGCTCAGTCATGTGCTCTGCTGTTCAGGAGCTTTCTGGGCTTTTAGGTGGAGGCCTTTCCAGGGACCGACTCCTCTTGCATGCAAATCTGGGGAGCCGAGCAAAACCAAGCGAGCAGGAAGGGAAATAGCCATGGGGAGCTGGCCTGTGCGGGGATGAACGGCCTGGGCTGTGTCCCCGAGGCAGGTGGCTTGTACCTTCCAGGTGTTTTCGCTTTTGCTTCCCAGCATCCCTCACCACCAGCTGTGCTGGCTGGGGCCGGTGGGAAATGTAGGCCAAGAACTTGTGGAGGGCCACCAGCGGCCCATCCCCGGGTACCTGCCTGGGCCGGAAGCCGTTCTGACGCACTTCAGAAGGAGTCTTTTCCAGCCTTGCGTGGAGGTGGTAGGGCTGGAACTGGGGAACTTGTGCCCGCAGAGCTGGGCTTCGCAGTCCTTCTGGGTGCATCCAGTTCCTCGCCTGTTAACCAAGGCAGGAGTGCGCAGCGACATCCCTCCAGCTCGCGCTTGGAAGCACGGGAACAGGCGAAAGGTGGAGGAGCAGAGGTGCGGGACGCTGCCTGCCTGGCTGAACAGGCCCCCTTGCGAGGAGCCGTGGCCCGGCGTGGCTGGTGGACTCGCCCCCTTTGATTGCCTTCCCGCTTGGGCAGGATGAAGAAGACACGGACCTCATCCCCAAAATCCCGGAGCTGTCCAGTCGGGATGGGCACGCCACCGACGAAGAAAAGCTGGCTTCCACATCCTCCGGTCAGAAGCCAGCCGAGTTGGAGGCGAAAGGTGAGCCCGAGGAAGACCTGGAGTACTTTGAGTGTCCCAGTGTTCCTGTGTCTGCCATAAATCATACGTTTTCATCCCCGGGAGAAGGTATGGAAGCCTCGCTCTCTCTCTCTCTCTCTCGCTCTCGCTCTCGCTCTCTCTCTCTCTCTCTCATATCATATATATCATTTTACTGCTCTCGCCTGCTGAACGCTGCAGGACAAATGGCTTGCATGTTTTTGTGAGGACTGCCAACTGATTGATTGATTAACCCCAATTAATCAATCCATTAATTAGATTGATCAGTCAATTACTTGGATGATAATCAGTTATATCCGTTAATTAACGAATTCATTTGCTTTGCTGGTTACAAAGAATTGCTTGATGTTTAGTTGCCGTTTAAGAAAGCAATCAGTCACGAAACAGAAATGCAGTTCAGAAGTGAGTGTTGCTGCATTCTGTGTGTCTACGGTTTGTAGTCTTAATTTCATTCGATGTTCACTAAGTGTTCATCCCCCCAAAAGCCCTTTCTGGGATTTGGAAGGGGGATAAGGCAGAAGCACGCTGCGGGCCCAGTCCGGCGCACCCTGCTTTCGGTGTAGGAATGCAGGCCCTTGCACGCTTCCAGGAAACCGACTCAAGTGCGGGAGCAGCGATCCTGAAGCCCGGCATCTCACCTGGACAGATGTTTTTGGCTGTCTCGAGGACGGGGTGCGGTGGCGGGGAGGATGGGACGCCGTCTGGAGCTGGTGCAAGCGGTCGGCATCCTCTCTGCCCCCTGCACACGCCCCCTTTTTCCTCCCCGCGGGGGCCCATGCCAGAGAGAAGGCTGGCGCTGCTCTTTCCGTGCCACGGGGTGGTGCACGTGGTTGGCACGAATTTCAGGACTGTGGCACCCAATCTGTGGCCTCCCTGCCTGGGACCACGGAGAGCATCCCAACCTGAACTTTGGGAGGGGGACTCTAAGTCCTGATGCCTCCCCCTTCTCCACGTCTCGTGGCCACAGTGGAACAAACCAGGGGCAAAAGGGCAGATCCGGTGGGGAAGGTGGGGAGAGCCCGGGGACGCAGAATCCCCTGCCCTCCCCAGCCCTGTCCTGCCCCCAGCCGCATGCCTGCCTTTGAGAGTGGCACAGAACTCTTCCAGTTGCTTTTTCCAACTGCATTCGGACAGCGAAGTCTATCCGTGCTAGGAAGGCTTGCTGGACTTAGCCCACTGGAGCTCCTAATCCAGTACTCCTGGATTCTCCATGCCCCTTCTCCCCTGGCCCTTGGTCCTTTGGCTTCCCAGCTCTTCCCCAGGGCCTCTCCAGGGTTTTGTTGCTGGCAGTCCGAGATTTCAGCTAAAACAGGGTGGTGTTTTCGGCATCTTGGTGCTGTCCCTTTTGCCTTTTGGCTCCCCACCACTGGAATGTGTCCTTCTCCAAAACAGAATTTGGCCCCTGGGCTGGAAGAAGCTGGATGCCTGATTCCATAATGCACGGATATGCCAGCAATGTACTTTTGGTGTATTTCAATTCTGAGCTTTGAGCAGGGGATAAAGCTCTGAAGGGTACCACCTGAAGCACCTCTGTCTGCCTGCTCTGGCATCCCAGTGCAGATCCCTCGCCTTTTTAATTTTCAGCCGATGCACTTGAACATAATTAAAATCCAGGCCCTAGAAACATCTAATCTGTGCTGGTGCTTGCCAGGTACAGGCTGCAAGATTTGCTTTGCTGAATGTCTGTAACCATTTATTAGTTTCGCAAGTCGTTTATCACAAAGCACTCGAAGGAGCTGTAAATGTCACTTTTGGGGGGAAGGAACAAAGCTCACAGCCCGGCTTATCCCTGCAGTTGACAGCAATGCAGGTGCGGGTTGGGTAGTTTACAGAAATGCACTGCAACAGGCTTGGATTTCCACAGCAGAAGCACCTCTTTTACTTCTGAGCCACCAGGGAGAATTTCACCCAGCCGTTGGAGGGAACTAATAAGAATGGATTAAATGCTGCATGCTGCCAGGCGTCTTGGTAGGTGGGAGAGAGAACAGCTCTTCTTCCCACCTTCCCCCATCAGGAATTGCAAAGGACCCGACAGTCTGAGCATCATGTGCAAGCAGCCGTTTTTAAGCTTGGCCCTCGTAGCTGAAAACCAAGCTACAGCGAGGCAGCTGAGGGCTTTAGGCGGCCTCTCCTTCCCAGAATTAAGACCGGCTCCTTTGCCTGATTTTCCTTCCTTGGCTTTTCAGTATGTTTCATCTACGACAATCTAAAACGCTGCTGAAAGGGCTGCATGGAGTCAGCGTGTGTGGCCCTTAACATTTGCAAGTTCAACACGAAGCCCATTACCTCTGCCAGCATCTCTGGGATGGTGACAGGGAACCTCAGGACTGGGGACCCAGTTCAGATCTCTTGAGGTCCCAGGCTGGCTTGCTAGTACTTGCTGAATTGTCCCATTTCCTTTTCCTTAAGCACAGATGCTGCGGAGCTTCCCTGTTTGTTTATTTAAATCTTTTCTATACCATTCTCTACCAAATAGGCTCAGGATGTTATTATAATAAAACCAAGTAAGCACAGCATCAAATTTGAACAATAAAATCCCAATTAAAACCACAATCTAAACCTTAAATTAATGGGAAAATAGAAAGGTTTTGGCCTGGCGGTGAAAAGAATAGTGTCAGCACCAAGCGACCTTCTCTGGGGAGTGTATTCCATAATCGGGGAGCCACCACCAAGAAGGCCCTTCTCCGGGTAGCCACCCTCCTAATCTCCTTCCAGGAGGGCTCTCCAGGTTTCCCTAGCGTTTACGCACTTCATTCTGAAAGTGGAAGTACCTTTCTGAAGGCCTACTTCCTGGCAGTAAGAACCTCAAGTTCCAGGTTGCTGGGATTTGGCTTTTCCCTTTGGCCTTGGGCCCAGCCATCCCTGGAATTTGTCCCCCAAGATTGATGAAGTTCCCAACTATTGTCTTACAGCTCAAACAGATACTGCATTCGTATCTAACAGCCACTCTTCCATTTTTATGATGGAATGGGCACGGGGCACTCCCACTCCCCAAATGCCACATGGCATTTCCTGGGTATGCCTGACCAGGTGGAGAATGGTTCCTGGAGAGCAGATATTGGCAGAGAATAAAGGATTCTGGGATGGCCCACAGCAGAGGCCAAGGGAACAGTGGGCCATTCCAAGGCCTGCTCCCCGTCCTTCGCCTGTGGCTGGACGCTGCATTTATTTGCTCAGCAGATAAGAATAGATGGCGATAACCCTCCTTCCGGCCGGCTTCTGCTCACGTGCATCACATTCTTGTCATTCTGAGGCAGGGAAACAGCTGCTCTTCGGGGCTGCGAGCTTTGTCCCGTTCCATGGGAGCACCGCCTCTGGAGACGGGGCCGAGTTCGCATCTGCTTTTTTCTGTAAAGAAGTCAAAAGAGCTGCATCGGTGCGTTAGGGAGGGAAAGCAGGTTATGCTCGATTGCAAAATGCGCAGGAAGTCTTGTTCAAGGTTGTCCCAGGCTGTTTGCTTGCCCAAGGCAAAGACGTGGTTTGACCTGCGTGGAGGTTCTGCTGTGGAGAATGAAGCAGGGGCTGAACCAGGCTGGTTTGCATAGGAAGAGGCTGAAGGAGGCTTCCATGCCCCCCCCCCCCGAGTGTGACATGTCTTCCGTCTTGCTCTCCCCCCTCCTTTGAGCGCATGGAGCCTTAGGACGATTTTACTCAGATGCAAGTGTAATTATTCCATACACTCAAGACTTAGACCTTGCTTTTCTTGCAAAGATCTCTGAGCAGTGGGCATAAGGTGTGCTGGGGAGATGGGCTTGGCTGAGTGAGTGAGATTCCTGGTTGTGCCGGGATTGGAATCCAGGATTCCCGGCCTCACCTTTCATTTTGGTCCACAGCACTTGTTCTTGTGTGGAGGCAGCCCCTAGGAAAACCCCAGTGGGTGACTTTCCAAATGCTCTCAGACTCAGATTCCTAGTAGCCCCAGCAGCAGGGGCAGTAGTGATGGGTGATGGAGCCCAGATGGAGTTTCTCCACCTTTGTTGTCTCCCACGGCCTTCTGAGACTTAACTCTGCGTGATCCATGTATTTCCACCTTGGCCACATGCGCGCTTCAGTTTATATTTTAGATGTATATCAGAGCCATGTAAAGGAAACCTGAGCCAAGACCCAAGTCTAGCCTTCCCCAACTTGGGGGCCTCCAGAGGTGTTGGACTGCAGCTCCCAGTATCCCCAGCCAGCAAACCAGGCTGGGGAAGTTTGCTTGAATTGAATCTTGGCTGCAGTCCCCAACAAATATAATCCATTGAATTTGGAAAGCCTGCTGAACCCCGAGATGCACAAGGTGAGCGCCAGGCCGGTGGCCTCCGGGACCCTGGCCCCGCTCTTGTTCTAGAGCAGGGGTGTCCAACCTTTTGGCTTCTCTGGGCCACATTGGAAGAAGAGGAATTGTCTTGGGCCACACGTCAAATGCACCAACACTAACGAAAACCGATGAACAAAAGAAAGGCCTGTGCATAATTTTTGTGATATCCGCCTCCACAGATAAGCAAAAAGCTCCTCACCTAATAATCCTAGGAGAGCATACGTTTATTTTACGTGACGTTGCGGCACAACATTGTCGTCTATGAATTTCACACTTGAGAACCACACTATTGAGTTACCCTCCCAAAAAGGCGAAAAAATCTCATAATGTTTTAAGCTTTTTGTGTTGGGCCACACCGCTTTAGAAGCTAGAGTTTTGGCAGTGCCGGTGACGGTCAAGGACCAGCCAAAGGGGGAGCTGGCACCACTGTATCAGCAGCTTCACTTCGCTGGAGGAGGAGGGGCTCCACGTGCGTCTCCGTGGCAAACGAGGACTGCTTCGCCCGCACAGGCTCGTTATTTGATGATGGCATGCATGGCTGAATCGGCTCTTCGGAGATGATTATTGTTGCTGCGTTACATTTCTATACTGCCCGTCGCCAAAGCTCTCTGGGCTGTTCACGACGTCTCAGGTCACCCATCCAAATTGCAACCAGGCCCGATCCTGCTTAGCTTCCAAGATTAGGAAGGATCAGGCACTCCAGGCTAAATTGCAGGGTCAGCACAAGCTGCCGCACCTCTGCCAGGGACCGGTTGTACATTCAGCCGTTTTCTGATCAGTTTCTGCTCACTGGGTGTTAAAGCTGATAAAAGATCGTGCCTGGGCTGTGTAAATGAGCTGGACTGGGGAGGTCGTAACTCACTGGAAGGGCACACCGTGCATGGAAGCTCACCCAGGTTCGGCCCCGGGCCTCTCCGGCTGAAAGAGTCCAGCGGCAGGAGCACTGCCGGTTCTCCTCTGGGTGGAAATCTGTGACTCCGTGACCCATTCGTGCCGGCACAACGGGGCCGGAGGGACAAGGGTCTGCCTTCCAGGCACTGCTGCTCTCCCTCCCTCCCGTCATTTCGCCACGGCTCCTGCTGTGCGAGCGTGTAAGCCGCTCCTGCTCCTCTGTCTTAGGTCTCGAGAAGGAGCCGCTCGGCAGCCTGACGGAGAGAAGTGACGCCAGCGATATCTTGGTGAGCGCACCTGCCAGTTCTGTCATCCATGGCAAACCGGAGGGGGGGGTCTTCACCAGAAGAGGGGCTTTTGCGCAGGTCGTGTGGTCTGGTTCCGGGTTCTTCGGGGTTTTGTACGACAGCAGTGCAACCCTGAACATGCCTCTGTTGCTGTGCCCAGAAAGTAATGAGAATGATATTTTTAAAATTCTTTTATTGAAAATTTTTACAGTCGAACATTGTCTCCTTCCAAGTATGCACCTTGTGAGTGTCCACAATGCTCCCACCGAATTTTCCGTTCTTAACATCCCTGGAAGTCTTCCAGTGGGATGGCGCTCCGAGCCTGCGTAGTGGCTCTCCGGACGTTATCCACATGGCCAAAGCGGTGTCCTTTCAAACCCTTCTCCATCTTTGGGAAGATGAAAAAGCCGCAAGGAGCCACGTCGGGGCTGGAGGGTGGACGGGGAAGCTCCGTGATGTGTTCTTCAGCCAAACCCTCTCCAGCAGCCGAGGCGCTGTGACTCGGTGCATTGTTGTGATGAAGGGTCCAAGTTGAGCCGATCCTTGTGTGGATGATAGTGCAGCTTCTCCTCATCATTTCCAAAGTTTCTGATGCATTTTTACTCAATTCCACAAAATTTTATCGCGTACCACTGCTCCAAACTCGCTTGCCCGTTTCTTAATACAAGACACTTGAACAGGGCGTCACAAAAGGGAATGTCTTGACTGTGGCAGGGCTGGAATGCGGCTGATCGGGGTTTGAACTTATATCGGGCACCCGACCCCAAGTGACCTTGGCCGGCTTCCCCCTTCACAGAGCCCTTCTCGAGCGTAAGGACTTCATTCTCATTACTTTCTGGATGCCCCTCGTAGGTAGCCGGCACAGTTCCTTTACCCAGATCAGGGAGCGCAGCCGGGTGTCCCAGTGAGGACTGTGCACCAGCTGCTTGCAGGGTTGACTCTCCCTTTTTCTCTGTTCTGCAGGTCTGAAATGTGATTTGTGTCATTTCAGCTGGGGCTTTTGTGCGGACACAGCTAGTTTGCACTCACCCAGTTGAAGAGGGAGAGCCGGGCTCTGTCTTGACTCCGTCATTCTTTCCCCAGGGCCATTCCGAACTGACTTCTGTGGACAAGCCCTCCGGAGTCGTCCCGGCCGGCACGAGAGGCAGTGCCGAAAGCCCTCTGGATGCCATTTGCCTCAGCGAATCCGACAAGACAGCGGTGCTGACTCTGATCAGAGAAGAGGTAACCTCCAGCCAGCGCTGGCCCGTTGGCCCAGTCAGGATGTCAGAAATATGATTATATTATTGTTATTACGACTGCTACTACATTTCTATGTGGCCCATTGCCGAAGCTCTCCAGGCAGTTCACAACATTTTAAGTCACTCATCCAGATTTCAGCCCGGCCTGACCCTGCTTAGCTTCCAGGACTGGGCAGCATCAGGCACTTCAGGCTATGAGGGTGGCTTGTTGTGCGCGGTTAGTGGTGCTGAGGGGATGAAATGCCCTTTTACTTCGTTATACCATGGTGGGCAAGGAGCCATCGCTGGGTGTTTTTGCAGCGTGTCAAGGTCTTGTGGGCTTTCCAGCCCAGAATCGCAAACTCTAAAACTGGGGGTGGGGTGTGAGTATTGAATTGATTTATGGCAATAAGAATTAAAGAGAAATTTTTTAAAATTAGTTTGGAAATGGTACTACACTCTGGTTAAATTGAGTTCTGTGAAGAATGAATATTCCAGTGAATGTTGAAGATGCGACCAGGAAGTGGGTACATATTTCCATATGTGGTGGTGGTACAAATATATAAATGAGTTTTGGGAAGTGGTTTTCAAAGAAATTAGTAAAATATTGAATTTAAACATTGAAGCAGACCCTCGACTAGCATTATTGCCGTTATTTAGAGAACAAGTGGGACAAAATATTGATGATGAATTTATTAACAACAGTAAGATTAATAATAGCAAGGAATTGGAAGATAAAAGGTGATTATCAAATTGATGACTGGCATAAAGTAGTTTGGAATATAGCTATTAATGATAAGTTAACTTGCAATATTAAGTGGGGAAAAGATGAGAAAAAATAATTATAAAAATATTTGGAGAAAATATTTATGGAATATGTCTTAATAAAAGGAAAGGAGTGTGAACCATCAGAAAAGTCAATGCAGTTCTGGAAGGGAATTGGGAGTATGAACAAATAGATGATCTTACATTAAATGACCTGGTTTGTCGGTCGTGGTGGAGGTAGCTCTGTTATTATTGTATTGTTTAAGTTTACTGTTTAATGGTGATGATGGTATTAATTGTATTGTCTATGTTTGTTCAATTAATACATTTTTAAAAAGAGAGAGTGTTGCACGGGGGACCTGGAAGATCCGGGTTCGAGTCCCCGCTCAGCCGTGACACTCACTGGGTGTCTTTGGGCCAGTCACTCACACTCAGCCTGGCCTACCTCTCAGGGCTGTTGTGAGGATAAACTGGAGTCTGTAAGCCACCTTGGCTCCTTCCCAAGGGGAAAAACGGTTAGGCTAGTAATGCAGCGTAGCAATAATGATGTTGATGCCGCATTAGGCACAGAAGAGTTGGAGAAAGGCTGGAATCTCCCTACCAAATCATCTTCCTGGCTGTAACAGCTCGAAGCAAAAATGTGTTTCTGGCCCTGCTTCGCCTCAGGCCTTACCCCTGCCTAGGACAGAGCCCACACACCTGCCGCTTCTCCGAAATTTGAATCCAGCCCTCGGGCTGGAAGTATTTCAACACTCCTGCCTTTCAAAGTGTTTCGACACTCCTGTGACGCATTTGTGTCCGGCCCCGCTGAATCCCAGCTTCGTGATTTGGGGAGCTAAAAGCTGCCGTGTGTTTCCATGCCTTCCAGATCATCTCAAAAGAGATCGAAGCCAATGAATGGAAGCGGAAGTACGAAGGAAGCCGGCAAGAGGTCTTGGAGATGAGGTACGCAGCCACCGCACGTGGCTGGAGCCCCTGGTTTCCTGGGAATGGACTCCCGGCTTCGGCTTCTCCGGGGAGCCGGAAGTCGCCGTTCCCCAAGTTGACACTTTCTGAGCCATGGATGCACGTATTCCTGCTGCGATGGGGACACGTTCTTTTCCCTTCCCACTCTCCCTGTCTCCGTCTCTTTCACTGGATGAGCGTGTTGGACGGGGGCTCTCTGACCCCCTCCTTTTTCTTCCGCTGGAGGAAGAGCAGAGCGGAACCGTGCATAAGACAGCATTCCAAACCTGGTGCCCTCTGGACCTGTCGGACTTCAACGCCTATCATTCCAGTGTGGTGTAGTGCTTAAGAGTGCAGGGCCGAGACTCTGGCCACCCATGTTCGAGTCCCCGCTCAGCCACGGAGGTCACCGGGTGACTTTGGGCCAGTCACAGACTCTCAGCCCAGCCTACCTCACAGGGTCGTCATTGCAGCAGCACCCTCTCACCCAAGTTCCCCAGGGACTGCTGCACATGGGCATCCTGCCTCTGGTCTCGGAACTAGCACAGGACCACCCAGACTAGTGCCACCGATGGTCTCCTCCTCTACGCATTTGTCCCATCCCCTTTTAAAGCCACCGAAATTGATGGCCGTCCCGACATCTTGTGGAAGTGAGTTCCACGGTTTAACTGTGTTCAACCTCCTTTTCCACTTCCTGATTCTCCCACAGTGAGCTTTATGGGATGCTGCTGCATTCTAGTATGGTAGGAAGGGGAGCAAAAATGTATCCTTGCCCACTTTCCCCTTGTTGGCTCACCATCGCTTCATTCACTCTCTTCTGCACCGTTTCCGGCTCTGCAGCATCCGCTCTGTGCGTGGCTTTCCCGAAGGGCTTGCAGCCTCGTTCTGTATAAGGGCGGTGCCATCTTGGGAGTTTTCTGCTCAGTGGCACCTCATGAATAAAATCCAGACTTGGGGTGTGGCTATGCTGCATAATTAACTATTAAATTCTGCAATTGCAGCACTTCACCTCCAAGGTGGCAATGTTTCTCTGCACATTTATTTAATGGGGTTCAAGGTGACTAACCATAAAAATACACATTCACGATACTGGCAGTTTTATCTTCAGTTGCTTCCCAAATTATGCTCAGAGTGGAACTTGCCCTTTTCACAGTAGCAGCAACCTGGGTTGACACTGTCATCAAGGTACCCCTGGGTGGTAGGAAAGGTGCCAGATACAAAAGCATAAAAGTGGCATTTGGGGGGGTCCAGTGAAGAACACACGCACCTCCGCACGCACAAAAGTGTCCTGACTGCAGTGTGTTTTTTCTCCCTTCTTTTGTCTTGGCTTGCTAGGAAGATCGTTGCTGAATATGAGAAGACGATCGCGCAGATGATAGGTGAGGCACAGCTGAGCGCTGAGTTTAAGGACGGGATTGCGGACGTCCCTCCCCTTCAAGGCAAAATTGTGTCATCTAGACCTTAACGTTCAGAAGACATAGATTGGCCACAGTTTGCTCTGCATGCGCTTTTTGCATGACAAAAGCGGACCAGAGAGAAACCAAGAGGTGGGCCTGCCCCAGGGCAGCGGCTGGAGAGGTTTTGCTCCTGCGATTCAGAAATTCTTTCAGGATACAAACCTGTGCATGCTGAGACCAGCTGGAGTTACAGGACTTTTTATGTCTTAGCATAGATGCAGGACTGCGCCCTTAAAGGTGCATTTTTATGAGTCATTCCAGCAGGGCAAGTGAGGCAAACTGCTTCTTTTCTAGCTTGTGGAGCGACAGACTGGGGCCTTTGCATGAACACGGATGTGGTTTGCAGGATGCCTCTGTGCACGTTCAGCAAGCATTTCAGCAAACCCTTCCTCATCCAAGGTGCAGCATGGGAGAAGCATTAGGTTTCCTGGGGAATTCTGCTTGCTTACTTTTTTTTTAAAGAGTGTGTTTCTAGTCCTTAGGATTGTGAAAGCGGGCAGTGCCTGCTGAAATCCCAGAAACCAGTTGCTGAAGATTTCCAGTCGTCAGGCACCAGTGCTCAGTACCCTGTTTAGTTCTTTGTGCCTCCCCATTGCTGGCAGAAATATTATAGGTTAGGCAAAATCATACAAGGCTTCAGAATGAATTGTGAATTGGGAGAAAGTAGCAATGTTACAGAATTGGCTTGCCTTGCAGATGTTTTCCTTGCGCAGTGCACATAACTATGCAAATGTTTTTATTGACTTATTATCAAATGCGCTGTCAGAGCTGCAGCAGAAAATACTGTCTCAGATTTGGCAAGCAGTTTCTCCCAGCCCAGTGGCCTCTACTGCTTGAGCATCTGGTGAGCCTTTCTAGGATTAAAGGACCTCGGCAGCAGGACTTCAGCATGTGGCTGGCGCTCCTCTCCTGAGCCCCACAAGCCTGGCCAGTGATCAGGAACGAAGGGAACTGTGGTCCAGCGAGACTTGGTGGGCCTCCCTTGGTTTAGGGCCGCTTTCCCCCCAAATGTTGGCTCCCTGCTGGGGAAAAGGAGTGACAGAGGGTGCTCATGGCTTGGAGCTAAACCTTCTGCAGAGCTCCGTGCTCCGGGAGTGATGCACAGCTTCTTCACCCTGGAATTTCGGATCTCGGCCTCAAAGCCCCGCACAGAGAAGCCTGAGCTTCAGCGTTCTCTGCTCTGGGAAAGGGCTAACGGCTCCCTTTCCCCTTTGGATTCACAGAGGACGAGCAGAGGACGAGCATGGCTTCCCAGAAGAGTCTGCAGCAGCTCACGATGGAGAAGGAGCAAGCGCTGTCCGACCTGAATTCGGTGGAGAGGTCCCTCTCGGACTTGTTCAGGAGATACGAGAACCTGAAAGGCGTCCTGGAAGGGTTCAAGAAGGTCTCTCGCCTGCTTTCCAAGGCCTTTCGGTCTTGTGTTTCCTTTGTGCGGGGTGAGGGGTGGGGGAAGGCCTCTCCCCACGTTTGGTCGGCAGCTCCCGGGCCTCTGCTGGCTGGCAGAAGCTGCATCCGGCGCCCTCTGCGGGCCGCGCCCTCTGTCCCCCAGCGGCCAGCCACCAGAGGCACCAAGTAAACCATCCTCCACTGCTGCCCAAGGCCATCCCCTGCTCCTTGAGTTGGGCATAGCTCAGTAGGAGGGAGCATCGCCTGGGCACAGAGAACGGGATGCAGCACCCAGTTCTCCCGTGATCTGCATCAAGGTCCTGGAACAGCAGCATTTCCCGGCGAGGGAAACTACTTCTGCTTCTTGGGCCCCCGCAGCTGGGGAGCTGGCATTTCTGGGCTTGGGGTCGGGCCTGCGAGCACGGAAGAGGTGCATTGTCCGTTGCTCACTGGCGGTGGCCTTGGAAAGGGACCGTGACGAGGGCTGATTTCGCCAGTGGCGAGTGCCAGGGGGCGCACAAACGGGACGTGGCGTGACGTGCCTTCCGTACTGTCTCAAAGCCTCCATCTTAATCAAGCAAATCGACCTTGATCGTGGGGCCACAGACACAGCAAATCCGTCTTAATTGGAAAAGGGCCCTTTCCTAAGTTTGTCCCGCATCCGTTTGGGAATCTTGTGTTGTTGTTTGTAGGGAGACCTTAGATTGTTTTCCCGTGCCAAGCTGAAACCAAAGACCTGCCGTTCAGTGTAACGGAGCAATCCTGCTCCATGATCTTGGAAGCTTTTCAGGAGCGCTTGGCTGGTATCCTTCTTGTAAAGCCCCCCGAGTTGAAACGATCGCGTCCTTTATTATTAAACGGGCACCTTCGGTCTCCTAGAATGAAGAAGCCCTGAAGAAGTGCGCTCAGGATTATCTCAATCGGGTCAAACAGGAGGAGCAGCGGTACCAGGCCTTGAAAATCCATGCGGAAGAGAAGCTGGACAAGTAAGACACCTCCGCGTTCAGCCAAGAGGAAGGGGCGGTGTTTGCACGAAGTCCTGGACCCTAGTTGAGTGTTATGTGTACAAACACTAAAAAGGTGCTCCCAGAGAAAGAATAAGCCGGGATTCCGTTTTGCTTTAGCAGATTCTTCGTTTGTCCTGATGGGCAAGCCGGGAATTAAAGTATAAGGTTACAGCTTGTTTGTGAGACAAGCCAGCAAAGCAACGCAGGGTTGACTGAGCTTAAGCAGGGGAAGAGACTTTGCCTTGCAGCACTTAGGCAGGTCCTGTGCCTCTTTGGGCAGACGGTGTGTGCAGGATTGTGCCTAAAGGCATGCCAAGCCAGTTAGCCGGCTGAGCCACGCTGGGGAAGGCAAGCCCCGTTTCTGTCTGACTTGCATAGGGTTGCTCCCCAAGCGACTTTTCCCTCAAGAGGTTTGTGGGACTAAGATGACCACTAGGGAGGATGGCTGTGTGCCAAGGGATTGTGGCCTCTCATGAAGAAAATCCAGAATCTGGGGTTGTAGTGAAGTCCACCATCGAAATGCTTTGCCCTCAAGGTGGCACTTGCTTTTTCTGCTTGCTTATATAATTTCTCTTCCGTCTTGCTGCCAGAATTGGGCCGCAGGCTGGCTGACGGTAATAAAATACAGATTAACCAAGAACACCGATTAAGTGCTTTCTCCTGTGCTGCTCACAAACTCTGGAGTGCTCCTTCTTCAGAGTTGAGGCTGGTCCCCACCCTCTGCATTCAGGAATGGCGAGGCGTCCAAAATTACCTTTCCCATTAATACTGCATTTTAATGTTCTTACTCGCTAAGCTGTGGACCTTTTCTCAGCCACCTTGTTTGATCTAGGAAGGTGGCATAGAAATACATTAAACACACACAAAATTGTATTGGACAAGGACAACTCCATTAAGTGCATGATCCAGTAGGAATACCACTCTTTAGATGGAAGACTCTGCCAGAAAGTGCAGCAGAGGGTAGGTTGGGGGGTATTTGACTCCATCCTGGGGCCTCTGGATGCCCTCCCAGGAACCATAGGATCGCCCTGTTCAAGCCAGTGCAAAACACAACAATGAAAGAAATATTAAGCAACCAACCAGTTTAAAATTCCCTTTCACTGGTATGCCCAAGGCGAAGGGGTTGCATGATTGTGGCTAACGCTAGATGCCCGAGTCTTTAGGCAGCTTTTGCCATCCCAGTACCCTGGGCCCTGTTGTCTGAGAATGATGGGAACTGTGATCCAACACATTTGGAGAGCGTCAGCTTGGAGAAAGCAGCTCTAGGGGTGCTTAGGAGCACGATCTTTCAACGTATGTCTGTTCCCAACCATCTCTTCTGCTCCGACGCAGAGCCAACGAAGAAATTGCTCAGGTCCGTATGAAGGCCAAAGCCGAGAGCGCTGCTCTCCACGCCGGGCTCCGAAAAGAACAAATGAAGGTCGACTCACTAGAAAGAGCTCTCCAGCAAAAGGTAACGGGCCATTCCTGGCCACCCCTCCACTTCCTGTTGGGCAAAATGGCGACTTGCCGCAGTCCAAGCGGCAGTTGTACTGGGCACGCCTGTCCTAGGAAGGAGACGGGATGGGCTGGTGACGTTCAGGACTGACAGCCATGTCCCACGTGGGACCGCGATCACGTCGCGTGCGCGTTTGTAGCCCAGCCTTCTCCGTGACGCAGCTGGCCTTTCAGATGCAGCCGAGGATTTTGGCATGCGGGCACCTGCAAAGATGACGCCTCCCATTTTGGGATGATACGGTCCCCCTTTTTGGTGCTTGCATCAGCTCTGAAAGGTCTCCGTTCTGGCTGGCCGAGCCAGGGATCTTCTTTGGTGGAATAGTGAAGGTAGGGTATGCCTACTGCTTCCCTAGTGAAACTTGCCTGTTAGAATCACCGGGCAAAATCGCAGAACTACCACCTCATTTTAGGTCCTGCTGTTCCTGCAATTCGGACTGCAGATCAAAGATCTTCTGATCTTGCTGTGTTTAGAGTTTTTGAATTGTGGCTTGAGTTACTGTGTTTTCACATACTGTATCGTGCTTGAATTGTCCTGTATTTTTAATTGAATATCCACTTCTTTGGGGTCTCTGGGAACTTAAAAGCTCTATATAAATAAACTTGAAAGATAATTTTAGTAACAATAATACGCATTATTCCAAAGAGTGCTCCTGAATCTAATCTGGTTAAGTTCTGAACCGCCAAGAGCCTGTTGTACGTTGAGACTATAGAAAGGATCTTGCACCCAAGATCTGCATATTGGAACGATCCAAATGCCATTCTGTGCATTTTTAGAGAGAAGGCCTACAACTCCCAGCATCCTGGAGCCATCCATGCTGACTGGGGAACATTGGAAGTTGTAGGACATATTTCTGTCCAAACATATGTAGGATTGCAACCTACGAGACCCCAGTACCCCATCGGATCTTGCATATTCCGTTTGTTTTTAACACTTTTTAGAACCAGGAAATTGAAGAGCTGACTAAGATCTGTGATGAACTGATTGCCAAGCTAGGAAAGACCGACTGACCCCTCCTCACTGTCCGGAGCACCCTGCGCTTGGCCGCTTCCTGTCGTCTGTCCGCGTCTTCACGCAAGCACCTTGCCTTACGTTCCAGGACACCATGTTCCCCTTGCAGCAGAGAGAGGAGCACAGCCTGACTTCACAAGCCCGACCTCGCCAGATGGGTGATGCCATTCTGCTTGCTGGAATGCACGGCGGAGAGCCGTCCCGCTCCCGCAGCACGGAGCACCTCGGGAAGACACGGTGCTTTGGTGGCAGGGGCGGGCCAGCAAGAGAGGTGCCGCTTTACCTGAGCAGGCCCTTCCCGTCCTCACCTGCAGCCGGTACGTGAGGAACGCAGGCTGGATGGAATCCGAAGGCACAAGAAACAAAGCTGGTGCAAACGCAGGTGTTTTGTGGGACGGGCTGATGCCCAGGGTGGTTTCCCAGGGGTGGAGCACACACAGAATCTAGATCAGGGTTTCGGGGTCCTGGGAGAATTGGGTCTTTGTGAGCTGTGATGTAGATAGCAGTCTTTTCGCACTTGGAGGTGTCACAGTTTTATTGGGTCATGAGTGTTGATGGAACAGAAAGTCTGCGTCAGTAAATCATTAAGTGCACAATCCAGTGCTAGTTTAGACAAAAACGGTCTCCATCTCAGCCTTTTTTCTGTCTCAGTTTGCATAGGATTGTGCACTTAGTGGCTGAATGATTTATGATGGGGCGCACTTTGGGTTCACAAAACTCGCGACATAAATGTTCGCCTTTTGGGGCCCACCAGGCCCTTTCTGTCCGCGGTTGCAGACGAATGCATCTCCCTTGCTGGAATTTGTGTCTCACTGAGTGCACTTTAATGCCACGGCATGAGCACAGGCTCCCCCCCGAGAGCACAAATTGCTCAGTGTGCACCTGGAATTCCAGGATAATGCAGCCCGACCCATTATCCTTGGAAACTGGCCCAAGGAGGTGGAGTCAACACTCTAGGTGCATAGTTCCCCCTTCCTAATGTACCTTCCTGCTCCGAGTTCCCAGAGAATAATCCCATACCTGTAACCTATTCTAAAGAAATCCTCCACCTTGTGGCAACTTAAATTGATGTCTGATTTACCTGGGAATTAGATGCACCAGCTGCTAAGTGAAGTTGCCCACCCACAAAATGACCTCAGACGGATTCTTGCCTTCCAGTGTTCAGCAGAAAACCCCTGTGCATTTTCCCCTTTGCTTGGCCCACAGAGGAATCCTTGAAGCACTTTGTTCGCTGCAGCCAGGGGAAATCCCACAAGAGGTGCCCGTGTTTTAACCCTACACAGACAGAGAGAAACAGATGCTCCCAGGCCGCGCACCGTCTTGCCTCGTTCCTTGCGGAGCGATTCCTCTCGTGCTCTTCTGTCTGTGCCACCTTTAGAGTCAGGATTCCTGAGAACCTCACTCAATTTTTGTTTAATGTCGAAACTACTGTCTAGCTTCATGGGGTCAGGAAAAGGGGCCGCCAAGGCTTTGTGTGTGCCCCCATCTCAACAGCGCAAACTCTTGCTTCTGAAACGAGAGAGCCAGTCGTTCCAGAGCAGGGACTGGCTTTGCCTGCCCCCTGGAAATCTCCCGCCTCCCCTGATGCGACCCCCTCTGTGGCGCTCTGCCTTCCCACGCTTCTCGCTCTGCTGCTCGCTGCTCTTTGCCCACACACGGCGTTGGCGCGGCAGCCCCGGCACTCTCGGGCCCCCTGCCAGGTCAGGAAACAGCGGGTCACACAGCACGGCTCTTCGCCAGCAATCTTGCACAGACCTCGTGCCCACCTGGAAGTGGGCTGGCAGCAAACCGCACGCCGTGTGGGAGGCCCTCCCGTCTCCAACATGCTCCTGGCGAATTCCTACAGGTGCAGGAGCCCAGGTGTGCCGCTCCCTTTGATGATACGCCGGGGCAGGCGCAGCCTAGGAATGTGGTGGTGCCGGGCCCAGGAGGCCCCACTGACATCTGGTTCCAGGTTCTGGTCATTGGCAATGAGCAGGACCTGTGAGAAGGAAGCGGCTTGATGCCACGCTCTGCTGTCCTTGCGTGCGAACAGCCCCCGCCTCCTGCTGCAACAGGCCCGCAGGTGAGATGCGATGCCCCAGCAGGTTATCTGTTTGGCCCTCTGACCCCAGCGAGGGCGGAAGCAGAGAAATGCGAGGTGCGGCCACGAGGCCCTTCCCTGCTCTCCTCTTCCAGAGTTCTGTGGTTTGATACCATCTCACGGTGATCCACTGGGTGTTCGGTAGTTGCACTTTTGTCTGTGGTGTGTGTGTGTGGGTGGGTGGGTGGGTGTGCAGGCGCGCATGTGCAGACACACACGGTGCCAAATGCTTCTCTTGTCTCGTGTGCCTCTCAAGCATGCCACTGAAATGTGGGCAAAGAAGATTCCTAAGGAATGACATTATTAACTATAATATGGTTATTCTAGTTTGTGCCAATATTTAAAGATGTATAATGGTTCTCGTTCGGTGCAGTGGATGGTGCGTGTGTGATTTCAGTCTGTGGAACTGTGGTCTCTGTGGCAGAAGGGGAACATTTGCTCCCCAGGTTGCTGGTTCTTTTCTTGCAATCTCATCTTTGCAGCTTCCGCCGGTCTGTTTGCGGGAGGATTTGAGATGAACACCCTCCTGGGGGCAGGAGGTCAAGCTGGAGAGACTGCACAAGCAGCAGCCCAAACGCTCAGCTCCAGGCCTGAGTCGAGGGCCACGGGACTCCCTCGTTTCAGGACCGTCGCGCAAGCTCCTTGACCTCGCGTTGCCCCATGCTGTGCCGTGCCCCGTTTCCGCCTCCCCCAGGACCGGAAGTGGTAGTTGCACTGCTTAATTTCTGGAGGTTGCTAATCCGTGTAACAGAATGGCCCCTGCCTTACAATCCTGCTAAGGTGAACCGAGCACGGTCTGTGCCTCAAACTCCAAACCTGGGGCAGGGAAGAGGTTCTGGTATCTTCTGGCGGCTATGCTACCATTTTGCAGAGGGCATTTCTGGAAAGCAGCGTACCCATTACTGGGAAGGATGCGGGTAAACCGAGGCTGTGCAAGGTCCGGGGCACTTACGGGGTCAGTGTGTAATCAGTGCCGTGACATTGCGGCCCAGAGGAAATACCCAAACTAGCGGGATTAATGCTTGCTAAAATAACTGAGTAGATTCAGTTTCCTCCCACCCCAAAAAGAGGGATGGACTAGCTCGCCTCTGGCTCCCAGCATGCCTTTCTCTCTCTGCAAGGAGATCTAATCAGCCCCTTTGCACAAGAGCCCACCTGCACAGACCCAGGTGTTGCTGTCTGCCCGTGTACAATTGCTGAGAGCTCTCGTGTATGACCAACAAACACCCCTTGAAACATTATCATTAACCTGACTGTTAATTTGGTTCCCCTGCACCTCCTGGCAAAGAAAGAGGCCCTCTGGAGAGGGTAGCTTTGGGCAGTGGCTCTAAGTAACTTGTCACCTTCACACATAGCTATGTATGATAATTTCCCTTTTCTATGTCAGGTAAATATTTGTAAGAGTTATACTCACACAAATGAGATTATAATAATGATTACTAATATATTTTTTCCATGTTCCATTGCCCAAATAAAAACAATGTGTTTCCAACTTGAGTGTGAGTCTTCTTTTAGGGCTTTTTCTACCCCCCTCCCTCTGTAGCCCTTTCCTAAAATTTAGCAGACAGTTGGGATTTGCTGGCCAACTACTGTTTCAGGATTTTGCTGGAGTGGAATTGCAAGCCCGAATTTTAAAAATGTTTTGCTGGTGAGGATTTGGTGGGCTCTGGGGGACTCCACTGGCTTTAGGTTTGAGGGGGAAATACTCTCACAATGCTCGGTCCCCAATCCAGTGCAAAATAATAGCTACTGAGCCAGAAGCAAAATATCAGAGGGGCAGGTTAAGTCCCTGCAAGCCAGCCAGAGTATTTCTTCTAACTTTCTTTTGCATTTGAGGTAAAGATGCTCGGTTTGGTGCTGGCAGCCACGGCAAAAGAACAAGCACAAATAGAATTGGCACTCTCAGGGATTCTTGTAAGAACTTGGACCAAAAGAAAAATTCTTCATTAAACGAAATCTCTTAAGAGGCAGGAGTGGACAGTGCTCTCTTGATGTACGTCCGGCATGCATCCACATACCCCCAAATCTCTGTAATCTCAAAGTCAATAATAATCCATACCTTGCTATGATCAGTGTCGAGTGGAGTGTTCGAGTATTCAGTCTTCTGGAGACTGAAACCCGCTGCCTCCTTAACAGAAGAGGAACAGAGCACGGGAGCTGAACTGTGCCTTGAACTGGTGTGTTGCGCAACATGAGAATGGCAGGTCTGACTCTGCGTTGCCTTGTAGAGTCTGAGCTGCTTGCCTTGCGGGGTGAGCCCTGATTATGAACTGGGAATGGAACCTGGATTATGATTTCTACCTTCCCGCAGTCGGGTTGATGGAGATTTCCAAATCTTTAGAGAAGCTGGCAGAACAGCTGCTTGAGGGGTGAACCTATGGAGAAATGCAGAGACATGATGCTCATAATGTCTGACTAGCAACACTTTTTGCCTTGATTTTGAAAACACCTCGAGTTTATGTGCATCTCGATCTTGCCTCCTGTCCTCTCCTTGCACAAAACGAAAGTGAACATGGAAGAACAAAAGCAAAGGACTGGGAGGCCAGTTTAAACCTTTCAACTGGTTGAAGTCAGCTCTGTGGAAAGCAGGTTTTGGTTGCTTCCCCTGGAAACCTAAAGGCGGAGGTTGAAACGTTAAAGGGTTGTGTCTCACCCCACGACTGGGCAAGCTGCGCATAAGGCTTCACCTGCCAAAACGATGCATTCCTGGGACAAGATCGTGTTGTGCCAAAAATGACACAAGCAGAAGCCATAATGAGCGGCGGTTTCTCTATCCAAACATCTTGGTTGTTTAATAACGTTGTTTAGAAATGTTCTAAATAAATAAAAACATTTGTGGCCGTTTAGCCCTGGGCCACGTCTAAATGCCCCTTGGGATATCGCTCGCCTCCTTTCCTTTATCTCATCAGCAAAGCTCATTCCCCATGCAGCTCTTTGGGGGGGGGGGGGGGGATGCAGTCCAGTAAAGCGTTTCTCTAGCCACTTGAGGGCTCTGTTTCACTGTGAAAGCAGGGGGAGTCAAGGAGGCTGAGAAGGCAGGTCTGCATATAACAAGAATTTCCCATTTTGCTTGTGAGTTTGTGAACCCTGCTCTCCGCATTCTTTTCTTGGTCTCTCAGTTCACTGTCAGTATCAGTTCTGGCCCTGTGGATGGTTGCCAATTTTTTTTTCCAGTTCACTCTCCTGTGCTACTAAAAACATGCATCCACTTTTATTTTTGTTTTGTTTTTAAACAGCAATAATATGAGGATGCTAGGCTGGGAAGTGAAGGAACAATGTACTGATATTCACAGAGAACAGATATAGGTATAATCAACTTGACGAGCATTTGGGGAATGCGCCTATGTCTTTCTCGACATGTTTTGTGTACATCAGTAGGGGATAATTTATTATTATAGAATGCAGAAATTGCTCCACAATGATAAATACTGGAGTGGTATGCTAGAAAAGAGAACTGATAAAAGCAGAAGCATCAATAAAACTGGCTAGAATGTGTTAATAAGCCAGGAAACACTCTTCTGAAAAGAGAAGCCTTCAGCTGGTGCCAAAATCAAACTGATGTAGGGTCATGTCTGATCTTGGCTCAGAGGACAGTCTGTAAGGTGAGAGTCCCCTGCTGAAGGCTCTGCTCCTACTGGATTCCAGTCAAGTCTTGGACCCCTGGGGACACTTTAGTGTCTCTTCAGAAGACAGCCATCAGGAAGCATGATAACAAGGCATATCCTTAAATATTCTAGTCCCAAGTTGCTAGACTAGGACCCAGGCCTTAGACCCAGCCTAACAGCCCCATTTAGATAGTGCACATCTCCAAGGTGTGAAAAGTGTTGCCTTTTGATTTTTCCAGATCAAACTTGTGCTGAAGTCACAGGAGAAAGCCATTCTAATAGAAGGGTCCGTCAGCAGCCCTGGCACCAGCCGGATGGAGAATGGCTGCCTGCTCAGCCCCCCCAAGAGGCCTACATGAAAAGATGTGCAGAAAATGCATGGCTCAAAACGCATTGCCATTTTCTTGGAATGGAGCCAAAGAGGACTTGCAATGTGCCAGTTTTCCAGCCCTGCAAAATTGCTCCTACCACAGAAACCACAAAAAGGCGTGCATAGATGTGCAAAAATGCATTGCTCAAAATGCATGAATAGCCACAACCCTCAAATTTTCAGAGCCCCTTTTTTGCTATGGTTACTGTTGGTTCAACAGCTCTGTAGCCCACAGAGCTCAATCAGAACTGTTCAAAACTAACGCCGTTTTGGATAGAGAAGCAAGTGACATTCGCCTTGGCTTCTATAAATAGCTGGGCAAACGTGTGATCTCTTCCCCTCCGACTCTGTCGCAGAAAAGTGTTCCAGATCTAGACCTCAAGGCAGTCACATGATTTGCCAAAGACGCCCAGGCCTGGTTGCCGCCTGCCGCTTCTTCTTTTTGAAACATCGCAGCTACTTGTGGGGTGCAGCAGAAGGGGGCGATTTTTGAGAAAACGTGCACACGGGTTCCTTTCCTGTGCTGACAGAATGGGGAAATGGAAATTCAGCAGGGCTGAGCTGATAGCAGGATATTACATCTTCCTTAAACCACAGCAGCTTCTGCACAGAACCCTGCAAACGGTGAAGACAAGAAAATGTGTGGGGCTCAGGAATGCAGCGGAACTGGTTAGAAATGTTCTTCCCAGGGCTGCAAGCGGAAGGGTGCCAGTCTGAATGCACCCTATATGACTTAATTTGACTACAAAGAACTATTCTGTGGTCCTTCCACTAATGGCACTAAGGTGGCCTCCCTCCCCATTTTAACCTTACTTTATCAAGAGTGATTGGCCCAAGCTCACCCAATAAGCTTCATCGTGTATTTATTTTCTGCATCACCTCGCTGCCCAAACAGGGCTCCAAAGCTGATCTCTACTTAACATTTTTACATAGTTGCAGGTTTTAAAAACAAAGTTACAGTAGCAATAATATTTTGTGCCATTCCAGAAAAGCTGCAGGTATCCAGCATCAAAGAACTTGAACACTGGGATGTATCAGACCAATGTCTTATCCTTTCAAAACTTGAATTTTCCTGCTTTAGTGTAGTGCAAAGGGATTCTCTATTTCACTGTAATTTTGAACCACATCCCTGGATATTTAGTTTCCCATTGCTGATTACGATAGTTTTCTGTTGAAGACTTTCACGTGGGCATTTGAATCTGCTTAGGGGATGATCCGATGGTCCCTAGAAAGCATGTGGGGAAGCCACTGGATAATTGTTATCCCCAGATATAAGGTCAGGGACTAGGGCAAGAGCATTTCGGGCTGCCTCTCTGAACTTGCAAACTCAGCCTTGGAGAGCGCTTCACTGGTGTATTCTGGGAAGGAGACTGGAAAGAGCAGGAGACGAGCTATTCTCTCTTCCTCTCCACACCGGATGCTTCCAGGCCTCCATACCCATCAAGGGCAAAACTGATAGGACCGAGTGCTTCAAAGTGTTCTTTTCATCGCACAGTCTTCTTAACCCCAAAGATGTGCAACGTAACCAAATCCACACCAACTGAGTCGGATAGTAGTTTCGGGATGGGCGAATCTGTTAGTTGTGCCACATTCACGTTCTGTACACCTCAAATTCCTTCTCTTCTGAATCTGAAAACGGTGCATATATCAGCACATCCTTGGCAAAACGAAATTCTCAACACCTGCAGCAACTTGGTGTGAGAGGCACAGCTGTTCTCAGCATGGAGAAGGGATGAAGTGTCACTTGCCGGGCAGCTTTTCAAGATAGGCCTGTCAGAAAAGAAGAGGTGGCAACTCTCTTGAAGGGATTCAAAGCAGACTTCTAAAAGAAAAGCACTCTGACCTCTGTCTGTGGATGAATACATCAGCCCATGGCTTCTCCCCCATCCAGTATTTTTAAATCTCAAGTTCTTTTTGTCCCCAGGTTGGAAAACTCTGCCGATTTGGGCAATTTCTTTTCAAAAGCAAACTGAAACTAAATGTTCACCATAGGTTTCAAAGCGGGAACCTCACTCTTCAGCAAAGATCTGGGCCTATTCATCCAATAGTTCCTGGAAAAACATGGGCTCAGTCATTCTGGCATATTTTTTCCATAAACTTATGGGGGGTTTAAAAGCTCTTTTTTTAAAAAGTGGGGGCTGCATATCACACAGGCATCAGAGTAAACAATCCTTCTGCAAAATACAGGACAGATAGTAACTCTAGCAGTGAATAGCCCAGAGCCGCCTGTGTCAGCTCAGAAGTTAAGGCAAGCAGAGTCTGAAGCTACTTCCTGTGCTGAGGGTCAAGAAGCACTGCGCAGCCATCCGGGTTCTTGGGAGGGGGTGCAAGGGGGCTCCAGCTCCGGGCGCAGGAGGGCGAGCCACCTCGGCAGACCCCCCCCCCCCCGGTCAGTCGACCTTCTCGGCACCACCGTCCCCAGTACCTCCTGCTCCTCTTCCGCATCCCTCCCTGCCCCAAGCGCCCCCCCCATGTGGGTGCTGCACAGCCAGGCCCCCCGGGAAGGCAGAAAGGCTGCCGGGGCTCCCACCCCCTTCCTGCCTTCACTTGACTTCTGCACCACCCGCCTGCCAAAGCAGCCTGAACCAGCTTCAAAGCCCCCCTCAAAAAGTTCTAGCATTCCACGAAGAGGAAGGCAACTGATGATACAATTATTAGTACACTGCATTCCCACTGGGTATCGGACGGGGTAAAAATACTCAAATAAATAAATAAAATAAAATAAATTCTACTTAGTGCACTTCATTTCTCCAGGTTCCTCCCTGCAGAGAAGTGATGGGGGAGACAGCGAGGAGAAGGGCCTTCTCAGGAACAGCCCCTTCCACTGGACTCGTCATCAGGCACCAGCTGAAGACATTTCTATTTCGAGTAGTTCTGATTGGTATATTGCTGCCGCCACCATGTTAAATATTCAGTGGCAAGATGATATTTCTGTTTATTAGTTATTATTTTTAAATGACTGTTTCGTTTTATGGATAATTCAATTGTTTAATTTTGAATTACTTTTGATTGGTTTTTAACTTTTTAATTCTTTTATTGTTTCATTATTTTATCATTTAAATTGTACTGTTTTATTGTTGTTTTCTTCTTGTCCAGGTAAGCCACCTGCACCTTCCCATCTCCTGCATCCTGGTCACCACTTCACCACACTGGTTCCTGTGTCTGAAAGCTCCCAGAGCAGTGAAGAGGCCCCAGGTCAAGCCTTGCCATGAAAATGAACACTTAATCTCTCAGCCTCAATGCTGCTGTTTATGCAGTGGGGAATTTGTGGCCCTCCAACAGTTTTGCCTACACCTCCCATCAGCCCACATGACCAGCTATACTGGACCAGCTATACTGGCTATACAGTACATTGGCCTATATGTAGGCCAAACATCTGGCCACAAAGTTGCTTGCCACTCTGCTTTTCTATCTAACTTCCAGGATTTGGAGAACATCTGTGAATCTGTTTGGACACAGAAAGCATAATAGAAATGGTAAGTACGTGAAGCTCAATGTGTCCATGTTGGCGACATGCAGGTATGTGAGGGGCTGTCACACGGAGGTGGGCAGACACCTGTTCTCCCCTGCAGAGGAAGGCAGAATGCGCTGCAACAGGGCAAAGGTCAGGGAACCCAGGTTCCATTTGGATGCCAGGAAGCACTTCCTGACAGTCAGGACCCCGAGAGTGTGGAATGGGCTTCCACGGGAGGTGGTTGAGGCCCCATCGATGCGGGTGTTCAAGGACAGGCTGGACATGCGCATGATGGGCATGTCGTGAGCGGAGCTGCCTGGAGCCAGGGGTCAGACTAGATGGCCTGGGAGGACCCTTCTGACTCGCTCTGCTTCTGTTTCTATGTGATGCCGGAGTTGGAGATGGGTAAGGAGGTCCAGCTTTAAATTCTCAGCTATGAAGCAGGCTTGGGGGCCTTGGCTCATAACTTTTGCAGTGGAAGAGGGAATGATCTGTACCATCCTGAGCTCCCTGGAGATAAGGCGAGGCAGAAATGTCATAAGTTAGAGTACTGCAATGCAGTCTGTATGGTGCTACTCTTGAAGGTTGTTCAGGAGCTGAAGTTTGTACAAAAACTGTGGCAGTCAGAGAAATGATGAGAAGGTCCAAACTTAGAGGGCCAATTCTGGCACACTTGCACTGGCTGCCTACACACTTCTGAGCCCGATTCAGGACCTACAAATCTTACGGGACCTGAGCCAGGGATACTCTTCCGGCCTCAGTCTGCCAAGACATTCGAGGCCTTCCTCTGGCTGGCAGCTCTGAGGAAGGCTGGGAAAGTAGCAAACAGGTGGAAGGGCCTTTTTAGTGGTGGCCTTCCCAACGGTGGCATGATCTCCCCACTGAAGCCTGCCCGGTGCCAACCCTTTGATGCCAGGTCTGTGCTGAGGCACTTAAAACGATCCAAGGCTGTTGAATGGCTTGCTAGCCCCAGGCGATATGCCCATGTCTTCTGTTCTGGAAACGTGCCTGGAGTCCTCTTGTGCCCTCTGTTGAGAGCCACGCAGAGCGCTTGGCTATGGGGCAGTGTGATTATACCTGTTAATAAGAAAGGAATGCACCCCTTCTACTCCGCAGGCAGAATTGTTACCGGATTAATTCCCAGGCTGCTGCAAGTTGTCCCACACTTTCACGCCCCCCAGGTGGCTGCGCGCGCGGCGCCTGCGCGTCTCCCGTCACTTGGCGCCCGAGCCGCGCACCTGTTGGCGGGGGGCGCACGGGAGGTCTCAGCCCACCCCCCGCGCTTCCCAGCCACTGCAGGCAGAAGTTTCAGTCCCACCTGCTGCGTGTTTGTTCAGGCGTCCGGGTTTAACGCAGCGGGTGGGGGAACTTGCTTCCAAAGACGTGTGCAGTCATCGCAGCCTTCATGTCTACCGGCCTGCCTTTGAAGGGGGCTGTTCAAAACGGCAGTGATACTGCTTTTCCCAAGGCCAGCGGTCTTACTAGGGTGTCCTTGGCACTGCTGACATTCGATTGCTGATGCTGCTGCCGTTCGTAACGATGCCAGGACCCCTGCTCGGCGCCCGCGCCGCGGCCGCCCGGCGTCCTGCGCTCGCGTGGCGAGCCCTGCGCGCCTCGCCCGCCTGTGCGCGCCGGCGCCCGCGCTCGCAGGCAGGCCGGCCG